AATCTAAGTATTTGAGGTTTACAAGCATGGAGTTTAGTTCTCTCAAATGGTTATTTGGCTCTTCCTTTGTCTTTTGTTATGATGAACAAAAGACAACTTTGTTCTATCCTATCCTCGCTTTGTTTCCCCAATTGTGGTAAAAATATATGTAAAAAAAACATTTGCCAGTTCAGCATTTTTAATAGGTACAGGTCAGTAGCATTGGGTTATATGTCCAGCGTGTCCTTTACCAGTATCCTTTTCTAAGTTATGGAACCACCATTGACAGAAACACATTGTTTTGTTGTTGTTGTTATTAAGTGTCATTGAGTGCATTCCAACTCATAGCAACACTGTATAGGTTTTCTGAGAAACCGCTGGTGGGTTTGAACTTCTAACCTTGTGATTAGCAGTCCAGTTCTTACCCTACAGTGCCACAATGTTCGGTTTCTCTCTCACCGCTCATTAATATTATTCAGCCTCTAAGTGTAGTATCTATTTTGCTTTTAGTTGCTTATAGGAACAAAGACAGTGTTAACTGTCGTAAAGACTGAGGTACCTAATTAGGAAAGAGCAAGATTTTCTTGGGCACATAGAGTATTTTTTCTAAACTATGGCTGAACAAACTATTGGCCCATTTTTATTGCAACCTGACACTTGAAAAAAAAAATTTTTTTTTTTTTTCTTTTTCCTACCACTGCTTTTATTTTTGGTTATTCTATAGTCTGGGACATGTGGCTTAACAAGGATATAAATCCAGGAAGAAAAATTATGGTTGGCATCAATTTTAAAAGTCTGCAAATTTAACAGAGCACAAATCCCATATTGTTTGAATTCTAAATATTTACTTAAAGAAAAACAAGAGACCATTTTAAAATGGATTTAAATTGTATTTGTCTCTTATTTAAAAGCTGACTTTTTATTTCCGTATACTCATTTTATACTTGACAAAATAAAAGGTAAACGATCTACATCACAGTTTTCTTGTGTTACCTTTTTAAAATAAAACACACACACAACATACACACATTTGAAATGAGGCCAAATTTAGACTCCAGGGGCATAGTGTTCTGCACCTTAAATTACAATCAGATGTATTTTTGCACAGATCAAATTTTCAGTCTGAGGCTGGTGAGAAGCCTAATTATTTGACCAGGTTACTATTTATGTAGACCATTCTATGGCTGTCTGTGGTTAGGCCACAGCTGGCTGAATGCTAGCTCGGGGAGGTTTTTATTTCATACTGGAACATTTGGGGGAGAAATAGGGGGGTGGGCTTTAAATTTTTCTCATTAAATGAAAGACTAAAAGCAAGTACATGTTCACATATTCCTGTGGAGACAATATGCTATCTAAACTATTCATTTTAGTTCAGCATATGATGGGAATAGGAGAGGAAGCAGCTTGGATACTCATGGTTTACAAGTAACATAGTATTTGGTTAAAAAGAGAAGATGAAAAGATTTTTTTAAAGTAATATTTCCTAAGACCAAGACTAATTCCTTACTAACTTTCAGAACAGTTGGAAATTGATAAGGAATTAGTAGATTGATGCTTTTTTAATGAGAAGAAAATGTGGTTGTTGGGTTTTTTCAACTTGGTTCCGACAAATAGCAACCCCTATATAGAGTTTAGATAGGAGTCCTGGTGTGGTGTTGTGGGTTAATGCATCAGACTGCAAAGCCGTTTGAACTGCAAGGTCAGCGGTTCAAGGTCACCAGCTACTCCTCAGAAACCCTATACAGGGTCTCCATGGGTGAGAGTCGACTCCACGGCATTTAACAACACAGAGTTTCCGGGTACGGCTGGTGGGTTTGTACTTCAGACCTAGTGGTAAACTTATCCTATTATCTCGAGCCCACACCAGGGCTCGAGAAACTATTAATAACATATTATTCTAATGGGGTGGTGAATTACTGCGGTCAAGTTAATTCCAACTCATAGTGACCCTGAATATACTTCCTAAGATTGTAAATCTTTACAGTGATAAACAGCCTCATCTTTCTCCTGTAGAGTTGCTGGTGGGTTGGAACCACTGACCTCATGGTTAGAAGTCCAGTGCTTACCCTACCAGTTCTACCAAGACTCCTGGAAAACATTACTTTTAATAGAGTTTTATTAGAAATACTTTAAAATGATAATAGATACTCAGAGTATAAAATCGTTCTTAATAGCTCAGAATTCCTTAGACAATAAATCCTTCAAAGATGGATCCTTATAGACCATGACCTCTGCCACAAATGAATTGTAGAATTCTTGTAGTATTTGATGTTGAAATTTTTAAATACAGAAAATATTTTCAATATATTCTATAGAATTTTTATTATGTCTTTTTCCCCTCCTGATTCCCTCATTTACTCAGATTCTGTGCTCTACTTCCCCACTAGATTCCCAGTAGATCCTTTTCTCTGAAAGACAAAATGACTAAACTTTATCCTAAAAAGTAGCCCTTTTTCACCACCACTTCCGTAAAAGACGAAAACCTCCCTTTTCATTCTGTTATCTACTCAAACTCAGGGGCGTGCTCTCCAGTGTAATATGAGTCTAAACTTCATCACAGATACCTCGTGTGCTCTAGGGAGCGTTTCTTAATGTGTTTATCTTTATTTATAAAATAAATTTATTTATTTATAAAATAATATTAGTAACCACCACCATATGAGTCAATTTGATGTGAAGAAAGAATAATGATGAGTTATTATTTACACAATAGTACACAATACATGCCCAGTAAATATCACATGGTTTTATTAAGATTCACTGATAAAAGCTCCTAAAATAACTAATAATGCTTACTTTTACTTTCTCACCTTTCTTTCCTTAACAAGCATCTATTTTTAACTTTATACTGTAAGTGCTTTCTCCTAGTCATCACATCTTGTGATTTTTTTGTGCTCACCCCTCTTTATCTACATCAATATAACACTGAGTCTTGTTGTGGCGTTGTAGGATAAGCGCAGGACTGCAAGGTTGGTTTAAGCTACAGGGAACGTGGTTTAGATTCGCCACGTGCAACTCGGAAACCCTTTGAGTCGGAGCATAACCCCCTTTTCCTCTTTTTTTACCATCACCTTCATCCATGGACTTTCTCCTGAGCTCTTCTTTCTGGTAGATATTTTTAAGTCCCTTAGCACTTTACCTGTATCTTGGCCACAACTGAATGCTCGAACGCTGCTGTCAGCTCTTACTCTGGATTTTAAATTTTTATTAAAAGTAGAACCAGATTCAGTCCTCCTTTGACCCTTTTCTTCAATGCCTCCCACATCTTAAACAATTGCCAAGTTCTATATGTACTACTCCCACAGTGGTTTCCTTTATATACAGCACAGTGCAGGCTTTTATTAACAGTTGCTGAAATTGCTGCTATCCAGATTAACTTTCCTTGAAATTTTCCTGTAAGCTTGTTCCTTTTCCTTAAGGAAAAATTCATTATAGATCATCCATCCCCACTCCTCTTATGCCACATTGCCTACCAAATAAATCCTAGCCTACTGTTTAAGGCCCTTTGTGTTCTTAACTCTGCTGACCCTGCCGGCTTCATAGGTCATTTGCCAAACCAGTTTACTACATTCATATCTTTTCTTATTCTTTCTTTCACTTAGAAAGCCTAATTGTGTTTTTTCAAACATTTTATTAGTGTTAATGATGTATATAAATATTTCTTTGCTGACATGAAATTTAAAAAATATATTTGTTACTGTATTACTGAATTATTATTTCATCATTTGAAAATTCTAATTTATAATCTTCCTCAAAAATTCCATTTTTGATGTTTCATAGGTCACAAGCTATAATCTTTATCAACAGATAGCTTTAAAAAATTATTGAGTTTTTACTATTTGTCTGACTTGAATGTAGTTATTGGTTTGAATGAATCTTCACAAATATTTTTCTTTTGTGAATTCTCAGAATGATTTCTGTACCAAGTATATAAATAGAATGTGAAGTAAGACTTCATACTCTGAGGTAATGTTACATATCAAGAATATTATATATACCAAGCATACACCTGGTGTGACGCTGTAGGATCAGCACGGGACCATGAACCATAAAGTTGGCAGTTCAAACTCACCAGCTGCTCCTCGGAAATCCTACACAGGGTCACTATGAGTTGGAAGCAATTTGACAGCACTAATCTACCACTCATCTGTCAGTTTGTCACACTGTGGTGGCTTGTGAGTTGCTGTGATTCTGGAAGCTATGCCACCAGTATTTTAAATACCAGCAAGAGTCACCCATGGTGGACAGGTTTCAGATGAGCTTCCAGACGAAGACAGATTAGGAATAAAGAGTGACGAACGACTTCCAAATATTTAGTTGCTGAAAACTTAATGAATAGCAGAGAAAAACTGTCAGATATAGTGCAGGAAAATGAGCCCCTCAGGTTGGAAGGCACTCAAAATGTGACTGGGGAAGAGCTGCCTCCTCAGAGTAGAGTTGACCATGATGACGCAAATGGAGTAAGGCCTGTGGGAGTAAAGCCCATGGGATTGATAGGCACAGCTCAAAATGAAGAGAAA